CGCGACGACTTGTCTCGCTGCACCGACGGGAACGTTTACCGTTTAAAAAGTCACCCTCGGAAAATAATTACGGCAAGGAAATCGGATAGGTAAAAGAAGAAAAAAAAAAAGAAAGGAGACGGGGTAATCGATTACACGCCGCGGTCGATCGCGTAATCGAGGACAAAGTTTCGCGATGCTTGTCAACGAAGGTGGTCGAGGACGTCGAGGAGGGAGAGAAAGGTAGCTCCGGGAGAAGAAGGGCCACGGTCGAGGAAACGGGCAAGAAAATTACAGCGTGGTCGAAACGCGACACGCGCGCGAACGATAAGCGACGCCTACCGGGTTAAACCGATACATATTTTATTGAAAACATCGCGTGAACCGATCCACGCGAACGAGTCGCGTCGCGTCGCCTCGCGTCGCGTCGTCCAGAGTGACTAATAGGTAGGCGGGACGGCTCGTCGCGCTGTCATAATATTTGAGCTCCGTTCGGTTGCCCTCGACGATATCGTTTGCCCCTCGTTTCAGGGAATATTCTACGCTCCTTTCGATTTCGAGCGGAATCGCGCGCGTTAATCTCGTTCGAGACAACGCGTTCCGAGAACACTTGTTTCTCCTGTAACTCTGCGGAACGATCGCGAAAAGCCGACTATTAATAAAAACGAGAGGCGCGCACGAGCAGGGTAATTAGAAAAAATGACGAGATGGCGGTTAGAAAAAGCCTGAATCCATCAGCTTTGCTCTATCGCGCACGGGAGAAAGTGCTCGAGAGGGATAGTGAAACGTCAACGACGTGTGAGCGAAGCTATGCGCTTTTGCATCCTCGGAATGCGACTGAAATATTTGCTACAATAGTGATTTCACGCCGCTGCGCTGCTCTAATCGCCTAGCCTAACTTTCCCCTTAAATAAACAATCTTGCGTATCGCTCGCGGTGCGATCAACGATCGAGGCGTTCTCCGTTCTCGAAAGAAATTTCGAACGTTCGGAGAAAGAGCCGAAGGAAGACTTAAAAGTAGATACAGTCGTGGCGAATATCCGTGCGGTGGCGAGTGCGGGAAATACGAACACAATGGCATAGAATCTCCGTTGGAACGAAGGAGAATAGAGCAGAAGGGAAGACGAGGCCGATATCGAGTTTCCGCGGCGTTATATCGGAGCAAACTATTCCGTTTGCGTAGGTGCCAGTCTGCTCGACGAAAATAGATCGAGTTCACACGAACCGTACGAGCCGATCGCACGAAAGCCTCGGTTACCCTTCGCCCTATCGATCCGCTCTCGCCCACCTCTTGCCCTCTAATCCCGATTCGATGCCGAATTTCCACGTCTAACGCGTCCGAATAATTTTCGAGCCACCCTTGCTTCGAATCGACCACGAGCGTTCTTCGAGTTTAAGGACAACCTGTTGTTTTCGCGGTCCCTAGGATGATCGGGAAGAGCATCGGTAACGCGAGTATTAATAGTCGCGTACAGGAAATTAACTTGGCCTTGTTTTATCTTGCATTCTGATGACTGCATCTGCGTATCGCGAGAAACACATAACTCCGTTGTTCCGTGCAGGCGTATTAATTAAGTATGTGCCGCTCGGCGTGCGCGAAGGAAACGATCAAGGACACGGTTTTACGAGTCAGCCAGGTGCACCGAGCATTTTCTGCGAATCATCGCTCCCCGTTGCTCGAGAAACGAGCGTCGAATCGCGTCGCCTCGCGTCGATGTTCGCGAACCACGACCCCTACGAAACCCTTCCCTACTTCGTCCGTTACTCGTTATTTCGAATCGTCCGTTTCCCAACCGAACATTCGAACGACCAGTTCCCTCGGAATATTTCTTTCGAAAAATTATCGTAAAATTTCACCAGTCGTTCGTTCGTTCGTTCGTTCGTTCGTTCGTTCGCTCGCTCGAGCGAGCGAGGGGTTAAAAAGCTACGTTATTCCTGGATAAAACAGAAGAAATTGAAAACCAGTTTGAGTCGCTCGAAGAGAACCTCCGAGGCATCTCCGAGCCGACCCGACGCGTCGCGATCGTCTTCGATCCTTCTCGTCGAGGCGAAATTATCGTAAACCGAATAACGATCATCGACGAAAAAGGTGATTACCAGCTTAGGTACTTACCAGGCGTCGTTTCGGCTTGATGAGGGGTCGATTCTGGCCGTTCATCTTGTAGTAGAGGCCGCAAGCGTTGCAGAGGTAGTGGCCCGTGCCGTCTCGTCTCCAAAGGGGCGTCGACGTGGCACCGCAGTTCACGCACTCGCGACCCTCTATCGGAATTGCACCGTGCAAACAATCATTTCGTTAGTATCTTCGATCTGTTCTGTTCGCAGATTTTTTAAATAAAGCTACGTTCGCCGAGCGCGATCGCTCAAACGGACGAGTCGCTGGAAATCGTTTCGAGAGCCGTTTGAGCGGACGCACGGCGACAATAAAGCGGTCGAACGTTGGTTCCTCGAAACGCGAATGGTACCGAAAACGCGACAATTCGTAGACGAAGCGGATCGAAAGTTTCGAGAAATCAACGTATCCGATTACGAGACACCAACATCACGAAGTTAGGTGATCGAAGTCGCATGCAATTTGCCAGACATACCATATCAAGCGATTACCAGAGCAAAAGCAGAGTCTCTTTAGGACCGTGGATCGGACACGATCGTCCGATAGCGGCTTGTTAATAGCAAGGACAACGTTTCTCGGTGAACCGGAGGGGGGAAGGAACAAGAGAAGACCTGGTTTAGTTAGTCTAACCCCCACCAAACGGCACTAGGAACGTCAGGATAACTGGTCGAAATTTTCGAGCCTCCTCGACCGAGTCCGAGAGCTCGAGTTCCTTTCGATTATCTTGTTTTTCTGGCAACCGAGCGTGTCCGGTTGAAAGGTACAGGGAAAAGAGTCGCGTTAATTCGTTTCAGAGCACGGAGAGGTTCGAAAACTTCGAAGGATCCACACGACAGGAACGAGAGGGAATGATCGGACGAAGGAGGAATAATCGTTCTCTCTCGAAATCGTCCTTCGAGCTGCATCCTCCTCGAGATTTGACCGATCGGTGGCCGTTACTGCAAAAAAACCCCATGTAAACTGCACCGACAGACATTTCGCGTTCTGTTTCGCGATGCTCCTTCTTTCGAACGCGACCGACGTGGCCGAAACTCCTTCGCGACTCGAAATTGAAACGGCGAAAACGACCTGACCACTCCTAACGAGAGTTTTACTTTGTTTTTTCCGTCGAAAACGATACTTCGTTGCGTCCGTTTCGTTTGGAAATATCACTGGTGGTTCGAGTCGGCGAACAAAGAGAGAAAGAACAGAGAAGAGAAAAGAGAAGAGACGCTCGCGAGAGAGACGAAATTTCGAGGGAAACTGGCGAGAGAAGCAGACCGCCTCGTGCCACTTTTGCCGTAAACGGATGAATTATGATCCAGGACGAGGAAACCGGCGTTCCGTCACGATTTTGGCCCGGCGACTCTCGTTTCTGCGTTCATTCCGATTCCGAGTTGATCGCCGAAAGATTCCTTCTTATTCCTTCTTTTCTTCTCGACCGCGAAAACGACTGGCCGCGCGCACGTATTATTCTTCGACCGAGCAAAGGATAAATAATCGGCAACGGAGAAATTACCGTGAAACGTAGGCGAGAAACAAAGGCAATTAATTCCTACAGTCATCGAATTAAACGGCACGAAACAGTCGGTGATCTAATTGCGTACCGCGTTAATTGCGATCTCTGCTTCTCTCTCCGGTTTATTTTTTCATTTTCTTAATTATCGATTAATCAATTTCTAAAGCGTTTTTATTTAATCCCGTCGAAAAGGCATCTCGTTTTCGCGGAAAACGCGAACAATCTCGAACAGGCCGATCCACGGATTCGTTCGTCCGGCTTTACCGTGGTCGAGTGTGTCGTAAGTCGATTTAATTAGCGGACTTCCACGCCGCAAAGTCGGGCCATTGTTCCCGGAATTAGGATTTTTACCACGCCGTCCTCGACGCAGACCGGCTATTATTACCGCAATCAACGTATCCGGCATTTTTCAACCGTTTCATTCCCATTCCCCTCTCCCTTATCCCTATTTCCATCTCCCATCGATCGTCGCTCGTCCAATCTCTTTTCCGACCGTTTCCACCAGTGATTCGAAACGAACCTTTCGTTCCGCGGGCTTCGATCGCCGCGTCCGATTCGCCTAAATTTTCATCGGAAGGATCGTTTCGGACAACGCGGCGATCGAAGCCTAAGAACTCGGTAAAACAAAGGAAACGCGAAACGTCGCGCGAGAAAGCACGACGAGAAAACGTGGGTACGCAGACTCTTCTCGAGAGGGAGATTTGCTGTGACAAAACCAAAAAACGGCAGCATGTAGCCACACCACATCGAGGAACAAAAACAGGTACGTGTGTGCCATTACGCGGTCGCGCGTGTATTACACCTGGTGTATTTAGAAAAATACATAGAGTGTGCGGGACCGGACGGCCGAAACGAGACAGCGTATCGCCTTCGAGGACTCCGAAAGCCGCGCTCGGAGCGATCGAAGCGATTCGGCCGTTTCGTTTCGCGTGCCTCGTGCGTCGCGTCAACGTTCATCGAAAAAAATCAATCGGGTGTGGTGCTGTCACTCTCGACGTTCTCGCGGGGTGCCACTCAAAAAACACATCAGTGAGGCAAAAATACAAAAAAACACGCGTCGGTGTGTCTCCCTCTCGTCGCAACACTTAGCTCGTATCGGGAAACAAAAATAATGTAACGTGTTCTTCGTTCTCATCAACGAACTGTTAAGCGAAAGACGACCGCCACCAAAAGCTCGTCGAGGGTACAAAAAAAACCAAACGAAACGAAAGGAAACGCGACTCGGGACTCGGTTTCCATGAACAACCGCGTTCTTACGAACTCCTCGATGCCTCGCGATTTCGATAATCGAGTACCGGGGGGCATCGATCGGCGCGAAGAGCGCGTGCGAAACGAAGCTCGAGTCGATTGGAAACGAAAACGGAAACGAAACGATCCAGAAGCGAACAAAGAATACTAGAACTAAAAGCGAACCCTGGTCGTAGACGAAACCCAAAGAAATCCAAAGCGTGAAACGATAAGGGTACGATCGTTCCGAGGAACTGTCGGATCGGAACGGTCCACTGCGAACTTACGACTCCGCTTTAGCGCTTCGGGCGCCACGCTACGAGCCGTTGATTGTCCGCAGAGTTAAAGTCGCGAACCGGAAGCGATCGTCTTGCCTCGACGCGTCGCGATTCGGAACAGTACGGAATACAGCCGAGTAGATTCGTAGAAATTAAGCAACGGTTCCCGCGTAGCCGGCGGCGACGAGCAGCGTCGAGGCAAGGCTGTCCCTGGACCGAAAGTTCCCGGACGAGCGAGAAAACCAAAGAACCGAAAAGGAAACGCGGGAAAACCAAACGCGAGTAAAGTAAAAGGAAAGTAAAAGAAAAGTAAAAGAAAAGTAAAAGAAAAGTAAAGAAAAAGGGAGGTTGGTAGGCGTGCCGCTTACCGGCGGACGTCCTCGACTTGTTCCTCGGCTTTTGCTGCTGCTGCTGCTGCGCGGACGGCGAGCTCGGCGCGTTGGCGTGCGCGTGACCGACCAACAACTTCGAGTCGACGTTAAC